ATAGATAGATAGATAGATAGATAGAACGAACCCAGGTTTCATTAGAAGCTAAGCTCAAAGGAATAAACTCATAAAGCTACGCCTAGAGAAAATAAACCACAACGATTACAGGGAAATGACACACCACATATATATATATATATGGTATGTATGTTTTACATACCATAGTATACATAAATAAATTGTTGCACTGACTGACTGGAACTTTTAATTACATTCTATATCTATTCTAACAAAAAAAATGAAAAGCGACGTGTCGCTGTTGGTAACACCATAAATATGTGTTTCTCCTCCTGTCAGTGGAAGAGTAGCAAAAGAAGTGATAGAAGCCAGCTCCAAGATTCAGAGGGAACCGCCAGAAGTTCACAGGTGAGATTAAGACACCTGCAGCTTAATTTAAGACTCAGTTGGTGGACACAAAACAACAACTTCTGGTATTAAATGTCTCGATGTGTGTTTTGGTTTTTTTCAGAGCACAATTTGGTCAGAGTCGAAGCTTTAACTCTCTGAGCCATAAAAATCTCATCATGAACATGGAACCTCTGGTACCTGCACTGCCATCCACCAATGAATACGAAGAGACAGCAGCAGACTCTGGTAGGAAGAACCCGTATACTCTGGTTTTAGAGCGCACACCACAGCTGCACACTCATGTCCTCCTGTAACACGCCTCAGAAAGTCACATTGGGCCTCCCATGTGTAAGAAGAAGCTCATGTGCGATTCTCAGCCAAGGAGAGTTAATTGAGCAGCTGATGCTCCCTGCATCAGCCTCGTGTCCCTGGAGACACCAATTGCCACACGCTAAAAATACCCCGCCCATGATCTTCCCTGAGGATGGCACCATGCGTCTGAGTGTCTGCATGTCTGATTTTGTGTGTGCACCGTTTTTCCACAGTCAGATGTGCCCTTTGTCGCTTCAGAAACAGCCGCACAGCAAACATCTGCTGCTGTATCATTAAAGAGGCTCAATCAGAAGTGATGCATTTGGCTACAGGAGTCCTTCAGTTTGTGCCCCTGTAAGCATCTGGGGCTGCAATTTTATTTCAAATATATTTATATTTCTTTTTAGTTTTGGCTGATTACCATTTATGTTTGCACAATTCATTGGCTGTAATTAGCCTATTATAAAGTGCAGAGATTAAAACATTTAACTTACTATTTTTAGATAAAACTGTTTATCAGTGGTCTTATGCTGTGTCTGAACATTCGCCCTAACCCCTAAATCCCTCAATCACTATATAGAGCGGGGACTTTATAGTAAACTCAGTTAACTGACCATTGTCTGGATACTTATTAAAATACATAAAAGTATAGTTATCACAAACAGGATTCAGAATAAATGATAAAATGCAATTGTTCAGTCAACCTAACGGCCTTCTATGATTTCCACTGAACTAAACTTTTAGATTTATTGAGCCCATGAAAGATAGTTGGCTTTCCTTTTTTTCTCATTATCATTGCTTTTTTATGATTTTATTTGCCTTTATTCTCTCCACATTGTGCTCCTACTTGATTTAAGCATCAATCTTGTTGATAGGTCAGGAAAGAGATGCTGGTGTAGAAGAGTCCAGGGTAGAATTACATAAGAGTGGGGACAAACAGGGTGAATGGAAATGAGAGGGGGATATTATGACAGAAGAGCTAAATGATAAGGCAGAATTAAGCGTCACAATTTGAGTGATCAGTGAGGATGTGGAAACAGAACAATAAATGAATGATAATTACAAAGAGAAGCAGGTAAAGGCATGTTTATAAAGGTTTTTAAAAGTACAGGGACGTCTGATGTAATGCAACTAAACACGAAGATTTTAACTAATGATACCTTATAAATGTTGATTTAAAAGCTCTCTATAAGTATAGATCTAAAGTTGGACCTTTGTCTTTACAGTCAGAGGAGTCACCTCTGGAGGACACTAATAGAAGTTACTCTTAGTGGTTGTAGTAGAAACATTAGATATTATATCAAGCTTTTTATAGCTTTATAATTTAATGTTTGTTAAGGGACTAATGAGAAATGAAAAAGATAGGTGGGGTTAAAAAAAATATGGAATTCATTATTGAAAGGGATAAGCAGGTGGGGGTTAAGAGGGTGAGGGGAAAGGGAAAGAATAGAGTTCATAGATGACTAAAGTATTTACACTAAGGAATTTAGACTTAAAATATCAGGAACCAATGAAAAAATAGTCCACAAAAATCACATTGGATCGGATTTTGAAAAATTTGTATAATCAACTCAGTACCTGCTAGTATAACCTTTGTGGGTAATGACAGATGTCAAACATTTCCTGTAAGTAAAAAAAATATATATATATTTGTTAAGTTAATAGATAATATAAGCTGTCAAATAATTTAAAACTATGGTCCTAAGACTCAAACTTCTGTTTTGTCTTCATTCAGGAGCAGAAAGTTAAGAGTCATCCAGGTTTTATATATACGCACACATCAGTATTGTATGCCTGATATTGCTGTTAGTTTTGCCTCTTTTTGGAAGAGTTCAAGTTTGAATTTGGGGGCTGCCCCCTTTATTTCACACTGCAGGTTGTACCTTAAATCAAGAGACCATTGAGGTAGGGATTATGTATCAGCATAAAAGTCAACTTAAATATGCTCTATTTTGCTCTGCAGTAAAGGCCACTTAGTTTCATAAATTTTACAGTCATGATCATCAAAGCAAGTTCTTTTAAATCTCTTCTCACACATAAACTGTGAAATGCTGACTGAAGAAGCTGCTGCAAGGACTTTCGGATAAAGTGTCCCCAAGATGGTCTAGGATCACCATCTATATTCAGAGCACTAATCTCGACTATTAGTGGGAAACAGGAAGCTGACCCAAGGTCAGTGCTGTCCTTGTCCTGTTTGTGTGGACTGTCTTATGACAAAATCCAAACAAAATCCCAACCAGGCATTTTTTTTCGTATTACAGTTTGTTCTACAGAAGCTTTTTGTTTTGGAGGAATCTATATTTGGAGCTTCAGATTGCAACATATATAGAGGATAGCAGAGGACATGGAAGATAGTATAACATATAACAGATAGCAGGATCATGGTAGTGATTTGACAAGTCATCGCTCTGGTTAATCAGAGGGTGTATTCCAGGGAATGATGTTTCTCTTTTGCCTTGTTCTATAACTAATGCACAATAGAGCAAGGTTTATCGTCGGCAGAAAAGAGGCAGAAAAAGGCAGCCTCGTAGAAAGGAAAAGAAAGGGATCCCTATCCCAGTAGGGGTCAGGCCTGCCCCTCTGTAAGCACAGCTAGATTAGCTGCTTCTCTGCAGTTAGGACCACCTTGTTATATATAGAAACTGCAGCTTTGGGCCTGATCCTCCTCTAATGCCCCCTCCACTCTATGTTAATATCACTGACATTCACAGGAGGGCCCACTGTGTCTGTGTATGAGTTGGGGCATGTGTCTGGTGAATGTCTCTGCTTTTGAGCCCAGCTGGCAGTCCGCTCAGTGAGGGTGTGGGGGACTCAGCATAGAGCTGGTAAATACTTTGCTGTCAGACCAAATCATGGAGCTTCTTGGAGCTTCAGGGGAATTCCTGCAGAGCACCTTGGAGCTGAGAGTCACCGACCATCCTAAAGTAGGGGATACAAAAAGGTCTATAAGCCAGGGACAAGCAGGAGGACTGACAGTGGACCTGATATCAGAGAGACCGCAGTCAGAGAGGATGGAACAGGGACCGGCTGGGCCTATTGAGGTTTTCGAGGAGCAGGCAGCCTCAGTGGTGGTGGCCGAGGCCGCCAGATGTCAGGTTAAGATAACAACACGGCGGAGCATCCATCTACGAATAGCCAATCACACTGCACGAGACATTTATGTGAGACTGGCTGGGCATGGTGGACGAATCGCAGGAACCAGAACCGGACATCAGAGAGGCTCACTGGAACAGAGTATGGGTACAAAAAGAAAGAAATAGTTCAACATATATAAGAAGCATATTCTCTATCTGAAATATTGTAAGGAATTAATATAGCCTGGAAAAGTCTGGACATTTTTTTATTTGATGTAGGCATTTTCCATTTCTGAATAAATATTGAAAAAAGTGTATAGGATAATATTTGTTTTTTCTGTCCAGAGTCCTAATTCCATGTCTAAATGTTGTATCCCTCCTCCATTCTTCCCTCTCCTCTTTCATCCCCTTTTACAGTCCTTCTTTCTGCTTTTACTCATATTTCAGTCCTTCCTTTTCCTAATCTTTTCTTTCCTATTCTTCCCCGTCCTTTCTCCCTTCGATTTAACTTTCTTTTCTCCTTTGCCCCTTTTACTGTCCTACATTTCTTCCTGCTTCTTTTTTTCCCTTGTTTATTTCAATACACCTGTCCTTGGTTTTTCCCTCCATTCTCACTTGAATTTGTCCTTCCTTTAACTTATCTTTTCTTCTCAAGTTCTCTTGTTTCTTTTTTTAACTATTCTTCCCTATCGCCACCTATCTACCTACAATTCTCATCTCCTTCCTTCATTGTTTTCTGTCATTCATTGTCTTACATTTTTCTTCTATCTTTCCTTACTCCCTTCCCTCCTTCCTTTCTATCTGCGTTTCCCCCTTCTTGCTTTTCCTATTTTCTCTCTTTCTTTGGTTCAGTTTCTTTTTATCATTCTCAGTTCTTTTTTCTTGCTTTACTGCCACAAATAGTAATTTGTGCCATAGATTAATGAGCAGGGCTTTTAGTAGATATACTCTATAAAGATAGTGGGTGTTCATGCTGCCATAACCTACTTATATTGTAGCTTAACCAGAAAGCTCATCTGTTTTCTCAATATTTGGGAAGAGACATCTTTTAACCAGTTCTGTAAAAGAATATAAAAGAAGAATTACCATTCAGTATGTATGTGACATGCACGTTATTCTATTGTTGGCAGGTCCTGCATACAGGAGGTAACTTTACAAACTCAGAAAGCAGAAGCTACAATTTGAACAAGAAACCCACATTTTTGTAAACTCGACTATGTTGAAAAATGAAATGAGGAATAAATATTTGTGAATTATACATTAACAAGTGGTGTCAATATTGATGAACCATATAGGGTTCATAAACCAATGAGTCAAACAAAGCTAGCTAAATTAACTAGCCTCACTACTCATCTCAATTTGAAGGAAAAATTCTTCAATTCTGAAATAGGCTAAAGTAGAAGCAATTCTATTTCTGTATCTTTATAAGGATTAAGTTTTTTTTTTCATGAGTAATACTAAAATAAAAACCTTGATTAATAAATATAGGATGTTTATTCTATGATTATACTATGATAACTGGCATTTAACATGGTGAGGAGCATATGTATGATTAATCATTCTTTAATTCAATCATTGATTATTTATTTCAGACACATAAACTTAAAAAAAATATTAATGCTAATCTGAGAGTTTGAAAGAGAAAAGGAAGCATGAACATGCTCGACCCATCAGCTTTTAGCGCCATAATCAACACCAAAGAAACCACATTGAGTATAATCAGGCTGCTATCTAACTCATAAACACTAAAAATTAGAATGAAAATCTTGCTGCTTATGCTCCACTTGTTTGTTTACTTGGCTTATGGCTTATGACTTGGCACAAACAAAGTTTTCTGAAAGGAAACATCTAGAGTTTTTGGACAGGGTAAAACTGCAATCATCCCCAGATTTATACGAAATCTGAAATACCTAACAAAACAGAAAAAACATTTGCCAACAAACATGTTCCAGTGAACAGTCCTTACTATCCCAGTCTGTACAGGTTTCTGATATTTGGTATTTCTGAATCCCTACTAGACTTTTAGCCCTACCTTTGGCAGTGTGTGCTCTCTGGAGAGGAGCCATGTGAGGCTTAACAACCAATCTGCCTCTAATTAGCTGAGCAACCAATCAGAGGCAGACTTCAGGTAACAAGTGAGCCATATCAGTGTAGACAGGCTTTCTTATGTATATATTGATCTCCTCAGTCATTATAAGACGTAACAGAGGCTATTTTAAAATGTTTCTATTGTATCGTTTGTATCGTTAACCTCTCCACTTCTTTTCATCCATTTCCACAAGCAGTTATTTTTCCATAGCTTTCCATGTCATCACAAAGCTGCAAGACAAGCTCTGGAGCTGAAGTTCTTCACGTTCTGATTCTTATTTCTCTAGACATTAACCCCCCCACCCCCCCCACAGCTCCTTCTCAATCTGCTGGGGGGAGAGGGCTGGTTTTATTTTTACACATACATTACTTATTTAGATGGATTGTATTTAGATTCATTATTTAGATTCATTCACTCATCATTAAGTCAACACCTTAGATTTCACTAAATCCACACAGCTGCTCTATTGTCCTATTTCAGCGTATCATTAATGAGATTTACTTTGACAAAACCTTCAAGTAGAAAGAGAAAGAAGCACAAATAGCATAAAAACTGGCTCTAACCTTAACTAATGCACAGTTAAAATTCCCATGCTGGCCTCTGCAGGCCTGCAGAACATCCTAGCTGTGACATGTACTTTGAACCAAGCAGATGGTAGCTCTGGTATATCCTTCATTTCTGTGTCAACAACTTACATAACTGATCTCAATTTTTTGATATTTAAATTTAAGGTGGTTCCTTGACTTTTATTAGGCAATATTTCTTATATTATGTGCACACAAGTTGTCAACTTAGGACAAGAGCACCATCGTGTGGTTAATATGTGGAACTGGAGCTTTAACTAGATCTTTGCAGCTAAAGCTGGTGTAATATATGACTGTAGCATAAATATTCAGTTTGGTATTATATCACAGCATTTGCTGAATGAGTGCAAAAGCATGAAAAAACTACTTCTGTTTTTGGACAGGTAACATTTTCTCTCATACTGAAATAATCAGATGAAAAATGGATATTGAGAAACCAGATGTCTTATGTTGTTGTTCTTTTTTTATCCAGTAAAACATAACCTCCTTAGAATTTTCATATTTGAGAAATCCTATTGTACTTCAATGAATCTTTTTATGAAGCATTTTTCTGTGCATTTCCTTTTCTCAGGCATTGTAGCTGTTAAGGACCCAGCTCCCCTGTCTCCTCTCGAGCCCCCTGGGCCAGACACTGATCAGCCAAGTGCAGAAAGAGGAAACTCCTCTTTGATCAATGAACCACAGCCTCACTGTGTTTCCCTGGAAACCTCAAACATCCCACCCCAAACACCCAAAGCTGAAGACGGACTGGAGGAAGACGGCGAGGGCTGCTGTCCACTCACCATCTCTGAACTTGCCTACAGGTCTATAACAAACCTTGAATAAACATGGATCATAGTTACGCTTTTCAAACGAATTAAGACAAAATGTGTTATTGCTTAGTTTTTGGAAACTAACAGCCTAAAAACTGGTTTTCAGCAACTTTTAATTAAATAACTGTTGATAAAAGCATCTTCTTATCTCACTACCTGATCAGACTAAACTTGAATAATAACACTAGAATAATAAGGTTATCAAAGATGTCTACCCTCATCTTCCTAATGTTTAGTAGGTCTACCTTTAAGCTTTATGATTGGATCAAGCATTTTTTATATCCTTCCACAAGCTTCTTGTGATGCTCTGGAATTTATCCTTGCTGCAGACAGACTATATATAACCTAGTGAGGTTATAGGCTACATTTCTAACTGGTTTTAGGCTCTTCCAACAAATTTTCATCGACATTGAGACCTTTATATAGTAGCATCTTTAAATCATTGGCTTTGCTACCACTTTAAAGAGCAATGCCAAATGTTTATTCACAGTACCAATTGTTTACATATACATTTGCAATAACCTACTTTAACTGTAATATGCAATTACCTTCCACTGCACTTTAATTTAGATAGCTTCTGTCCAAACTTTATTTATTCATTTTATTGTAAAATCCATCTGTATCCATCTATATATGCTATAGTACCTAACTATAAAAACCCTTTTTATAGTAATATCCACCTGTATATTATATTAGGTACATATCCAGCTGTAAATTTAGTTCATAACATTTTTTATCTATATATTATATTCATCTATAAGTAAGATTCTGTTTATAATGGTATTCATCTCTATATTTATTCAGTAGAAACCCATGTCCTGTATTTATGGAACCGTTATTTATCCTGCACTTGCTGCTATTGCACTTCTGGTTAGACCTAAACTGCATTTTATTGCCTTTTACCTGTACCTGTCAGTAAAGTTGAATCTAATCTGAAAAACAATTTAGAAATATATATCTCTCTAATGGTCTGGCATATTTCAAATATAGATGATGAAGTTATCCTAAAATATGAAATATTTAGTATGTTACCTTTAATATAAAATTGAGCAAATATGAATATTTTTTATAGTCTTAACTTACCTAGTAAGCAGAACTATACTTTGAAATGAAATAGTTTTTAGCTTTTTTCAACATTTTCCAAGGATAGCTGGGTTTTTATCTTTACAATTTATGGTAACATGTTTTCATACACTTTGCACACATCAATATGTTAATCCTAAATGCTTTCTCTGAAAAAACAACTGCCTTATTAAATTTGAACTGATGTAAACTTATCTCCCTTCTCCAGCCCCTGCGCCAGTATGCTCCCCACCCCAGTGGAGGACAGTCAGGGAGGGGTCAACCAGCTCTTCTTCTCTCCAGTCCAGAGTCCCGCTAGGTTGCTGAGGGAGCTCCACGCTGACCCTGACATCCAAGCACAGCTGGAGGCTGAAAGGGAGCGAGACCGAGCATATGAACGCAGTCGCCTGGCCTCCAGAAGTGGAATGAGCAGGGCCCTTGCCAGTAGCCTGCGCCTGCTTTCATCCAACGAGAGAGTCAACACCTGGGTGCTGGGTGTAGCTAGGTTTGCTGCTGTGCTCATGGGTGTCCTACTTATCACTGTGCCCACACTGCTGCTGCTGCTAGAGTCGGACATCGACGTGTCGTTCCTCCACGAGATCAGGCAGACGCCAGAATTCGAGCAGTTCCACTACGAGTATTACTGCCCACTGCGACGCTGGATTCTCTGTAAGATCAGCATGGCCTTGGAGAACCTGTGGTCTGACTGAGGAAGAGGGAGATAGAAGAAAAGGAATTATATTTCAGTTCAAAGAATGATGGAGCCAAATGTCTGTCTAAACAGGTGGTTTAACTTCAGATGTCTTAATTCATTTTAATTAACCAGTTAGGTGAAGTTAACTGTCCTGTTCAAAAGTGTTTCCAACAATTTGAAAATAATTCTATTTCTTTGACCTGATAGGTAGACTGATTTACCTCCTAAGGTTAAACTTCATTTAAGTAATCATCATGAAGGTGGATCACCTGATAAGACTGACATTTCTGGCAAGAATTACCTGAGAATAAAAAAGGAAATCATGAAGGGAAGCAGAATGAATAATTTATTTTATTGGTTTTATTTTTCTTTACATTTGAAAAGCTTCTGCACTCCTGATGCTGACAAGTGGAGACAGAGACTCACTAATAACTCTGATTGGTTTCATCTTTTAAACCAGGTCACCTGATTGGTTATCAGGTCTGTCAGTGATGAAGGAGTGGGTGGGAACTGAAAGAAAAAAAAATACCAGTAAACACAACAACAACAACCGATTCATTAGAAAATACAAAATAATACTGAAAATTGCTACAAATATTAAATAAGTTGTTTTTAAAGTTTTATACGTTTTTATGTGATTCAGATCTTTCAGGAATTTTTCAGTCAGAAGATCAACCTTGAGCTTATTTTCAAATTAAGAGTTTACAAATGGTCACTATATATATATATATTAAAAAATAAAAGCTTATTTACTCCAGTTTGTCAGAATGGTGGGTTTTGAGAAATTATTTTTTTAAGACTACCATCAACAGCTGTTTTCCTTGTGGTGGTGGAACTCTGGTTTTACTCCAGCAAAAGTTAGAGCACAAAACTTCAAGCTTCATTTTTTATCTTTTTTTTTTATTTAGTTTTTTTGTTTGGATTATTTGATGTCATTATGAAGGAAAGCGCGTAGAGAAAAACAAACCTGTGATTATAAAATGTCTTTTGAGGGACCTTAACTGTTTTGTGAACTAAATGTCAGTTCTAGGTTAGGATCATTAATTTTAGCAAATGCAGCAAAAATAAAACCTAAAGGGAAAGGGAAAATGTAGAAAGAAAATAATGTCAGATTTGTCACCCGAGGATTTGAAAGGTATTACTTTAAAAAAAAAAGCTTTGCGTATGTGTTGATGGAAAGCAAAGAAGCAGATAAAAGGAAAATAATTTAAGGAAACAATCATCAGGCTTTTATTATAGATACATGAATGGAAAAGTGAGGATTGTCAATGGTTTGGTCAAATGGTTCTCATACTTTTATAGCAAGTATTGACTCATAGAAAAACCACTACAACTATCTTGATCAAATATTGAAAGTAATGTGCAACAGTGTCCATGGACCAAACCAGGTCTCTGCCATGTTGGACAAGTAATATCAAACTAACAGTAAAGAAACATATTTACATAAACTGTGTAATATTATTATTTTTTTTCATCTGAAATGAAACCCGACTACACATTTTATCTTTTAGCTTATTATGCTCATATAAGCTCATAATGGTTCCAGTGATTGCTGAAAAAATGAGTAGTGAGAGTGAAATATGTTCATTGTTAATGCAGACATTTACATAGACTTCAGGTTTGAGAAAGAACATGTGATGATCTTATTAATGGCTTTTCAAGCCTTTTGATAGGTTGAGTCACACTATTTAAGTTAATGAGGAATGTGGAAGTATTTCAAGGCTATATCTCAATAAAAATACAGCTTGACATTAAGAGTTGTGCAGATGTGCACAGGTCCTCTTCTCTATCTTGGATACAGTTTCAAGATGCCTGACTGCATTGCTTTATTGTGTTTAGTAATTAAAGTAATTAGTAATTTTAAAAAGTAATTAAACAGAATAATGAAATTACTCTGTTGAAGTAATTATATGCAAGTATAACCAGAGTGGAATTATTCAGCTATCATACCTCTCATAAGTACGTGTGTGTGTGTGTGTGTGTGTGTGTGTGTGTGTGTGTGTGTGTGTGGTGGGGAGGGGGTAACATCTCAAATCTGATCTGATTTGAGATGTTACTTTTATTTTTTTAATCTTTTTAGAATCTTATTTTAAAAGGATGTTTTTTTTTTTGTGAAGTGCACCATTCTCTCCAATAGCAAAACAGCATTGTATCATGATGCTGCCAATCTCATACTCAATAGTTTTCATTTAAAGATAGTAATGGTCGTTATGCTGCATATGATTTTTACCAGACCAAAGAAATGTAGAAATTAAAGTTTTACCTCCTGCATGCATTTACATTCTTTAATCTGGTTTTTTATTTAGCTTTTTGAGTAAAGTACTGTGGATACTGATGCTCTCTAAGCCGCTACAGAAAGTATCTTGGTGAGGTTTGGTTTCCACACTGTTAATTAATATCTATGTTTATTTACACAGACTAACATTACACCCTAAGGTATTCTGAAATTGTATCCAAGGATGATCCAGATGATCACGCCCCATCCCCCCACCCACCCACCCCTTACTCACATGTAATGAATTAACGTATCAAAGGCTTACATCATCTGGACTTTCCTAAATTGTTTAAAGATGCACTGCAATCTTAGTGTACGATATGTAAACTTCTCATATTAAATAAAGACAAAAAAGTATTTGCCTTCTATTAAGTTTAAAGTCCAGCGATTGACTTTCCAACTGTCTCTAAAAAACACCCCGTCTTGTTAAGCTTGGTGCCTCATGAGTTAAAATGTAAAAAAAAAACAATCCACTGGACTTTGTTTCCAAGTTTGAAGACATTTCGCTTCCCATCCAGGAAGCTTTTTCAATTAAAAATGTCAGAAATTGGTATTGTTTTTCACAACTGAAAGTAGAATGCACTCATACTTAGCTCTGAAATCCATCACAAAAATAAGCCCAGAATGATAAATACACTACTGGCTGTGATACTTGTGCAAAAGTGTGAGAACCATAGACCTGATCCAATCATGCAAGCAAATCGCTCCTGTGAGAAAAATACTGCTAAATTGTAGCACACTCACCAAGGCAACGAACAGATCTATAGAGAAGATTTCCTGAAAAAGTCATTAAGAAACTTGTTGCTATGGAATATCCGAGTGTTTGTCATTCAGTTTGTACATCATTAAAATAATACAAGTTAAAAAAGTCAGGTAAAAAGTCATCACTGACTTGGAAAAACACATAACTATTGTATTGATTGAGTTATCAACATTTATTGGTTATTGAAAGACATGCAAAGATTGAGCACGGACCTTGGATACACAAAAAAGTAGCTTACTCTCAGGAAAGCTCAACTGTTTATGTTAACATGAAAACAGATGTCATAGATAACATTCACACAATATATTTCTCCGGATAGCATCATAGCATTAATGTGGAACCAAATATTAGTAAAGCTGCAGTCTATCTACATAGTTTAATCAGTTGTGTATGCATCCATGTCATTCTGATAGAACTGTTTGGTCTTCTTAGGTGCAACATATTGTGTATTTTTTTTATGTATTCTTCCTGCTAAAGTCATGCTGAAACATTTAGCGTACATGAATCTCAACTCATATGACATAGTGCATCATTTAAAACTAAATCCTTTTATTTCCTTCCATCTGATGTCTTATGATTAGCTGTATTTTTCTGTAACTTTATACACTTTATGCATTTGCAAGCTTTATGCATATAAATTATGCAGTAACAAAAGAAACATGTATTTGAGAAAAAGCCTTTATTTTCCTACTACAGCACATGCACTGACTTTCACAGATGAAACAAAGCAAAGGGCCAAAATGCTACGATGACGTTCACTTCAGACGTCACAGATCTGAGTTCGGCTTTGCTTCACTGTGGAGGATGAACCTGACAACCAGTATGCACTGACGCTGTAAAATAATCCACATCCGATCGTGGACAAATATGTCATATTTTATTTATCCCTAAATGTTAGGAGATTAATTAAAAAGCTTCAGATATGTTGCAGATGTAAAAAAAAAAAAAAAAAAAGGCGATGCAAACACATCATTTACACATGTATACTGCTGTGCTGCATTCACTAGAGAATAGTTCACCTGGCTCCATGAGCTCGTAATGCAAACCGCATGCCCTCATCTGTAAATATTGTGTTTATAGTTGTGATTTTACTAAGAAAAACAAACAACAACAAAAAACACAGGCAGATAAAGATCTTCCTCTTTCTTCTCTATGTATGTCTTTATGTGAAGCTATGTATAGGCTTGGCTGTCTCATCCATATTAGACTATTGCTTGTTATCTGTATTTTTTTTAAGCTGACAGAAGGACAAATCATCATGTTAATGAGAGTTTCTTTTCTTTTGGCTCCAGTTTTACATATTTACTTGAGATGATAAAAAATAAAAAAAATACTAAAGTGAAAATTGGCTCTGAGGGGCAGAGAAAGTGAGGATGAGCTGAGAAGGTTAAGCTGGGATGTGAGGATAAGGGGAAGTGACAGGGAATTTGAAATAGCTAACTAATCTAAATACTTACAATAAAATGCGATGCTGATGAACAAGGTAATAAAATGCACACCTGAAGATGAGATGGATTAATGCTGCCCATTCCAAACCATGACCTGGGTGGCTCTACTGAAACACCTCTATAGCACAATGTTTTTTTAGATTACTCCTAAACCCAGAGCAGTGACATAGACATATAAATGGAAAAAGGAAAATTCAACTTGAGTAGCCATGTTTCGGCTCACAGAGTTATACACTTTTTTAGACGGTTTTCAAACAAAATGTCAAAATTTAAACAATAAGATAATACTGCGCTTTTAAAGTCCAAAATATGCAGTTTATCTACAAAAACAGTTACTTTAATATTTTTCAGAACAGTTTCCTTTGCTAACTGTGTTTGAGCTTGTTTTTTGAAAAGTTTAAACATTTAAATCTAAGCCTCCAAAAATGAAGTTTTAAAGTACTTGAAAGGTTATGTTCATCATGCTCAGCTATGTGTTCATAAAGCATTAAAGGAGAGCTTTGGCGCTAATCTCATCGCTAACAGCATGCCTGCGTGTCAACTACCATGAAATGGATTCATAAGACTTTGTTTTGGGAAACATACATCTAACAGAATTTCAGTCATTGTCAACCAACCAGTCAAAGTATGGATTTGCTCAGTTTGTCAAAGAACAATTATGTTAAAAAACAGAACAGCAACCAATGAAGAGATGTTTTGATTCTGAGACGACATACTGTTTTGATTTTCTGATTAACTCTGTAGCACTGTGTGGTTATAGCTCTTTTAGAGGGAATTGATTTAGACTTTTTAGCTCTTGAGCTAATTGCCCTCCCATGTTTGATAAGCAGTACAGCTTATAAGTGTTGAGATTTATCAAAAATTATTCAAAGAAATGGTGCACCTTTAGAGGTCCCAAGAAGTCTTAATGATGTGGTTCTATATTCTTAAATGAAAATGAATATTCCCTCATCAAAGATAAATTTGACAAAAACATAGTATTCGGATTTTAAAACACTGTTTTTGAAAATGTATTTAAGATTTTAAAACTCAGGTCTTATATATGCAAAAATGCTGGATAATAGGGGAAGGTTTCAGTATTTTAAGGGCATGTACAGTAGCAGATTATCATGCATGTTTTCTGTAGTTTTTTTTTTCCTGTTTTTCTGTCAATATTTGTTGAATATTTGGTTACAGTTCTGGTCTGAAGTTTACATACACTCACAATTTACATTGATGTCATATCAGTTGAAGGATGTCTTTAATATATAACGTTCTTCTTTGAACTGTGGACTGACAATACAACATGTAGAATTTTGGTGATTTCAAAAGCGCGTAATCAATTAATCTTATTAGGGAATATTCTAGGCAAACGTCGGTGGGGATATTTAGGGCTATACGGTCATTCTTGATAATTTATGTGCAAATAAAAGAGGATCAAAACTAAAAATTTGCCACCAGCACTTGTTTATCCACTGGAAAAAGAATAAATCCCATTTGTTATCAAAATCCCAACATGAAGAATGTATGTAAACTTCTAACCATGATTGAACTTTATGTTGTTTTTTGGGGGATTTTTTTTTTTTTTTTGTCATTATCGTGTTTGTTTTATTTGATTGTTTAATTTCAGTCTCTTTGATTGGGTCCCTCTGGGAGATTTCTTTAAAAGTCAACCTTTGAAAAAAGAAGAAAAATAACAGAGACAACCAAGCCTTATGGATTTTGTGGAGTAGAACTTTGAATGTTTGTTTGTTCTAAAAAAAATAAAAACATGGGCTGATTTCTATGTTAATACTGCCACAATAAAGATCCCTAAAGAGTATTTGTTGTTTACTATTGTCTTGATTGGTGCTTTATTCAGCTGAGAAACCAGTCCACTAATATCACACACACACAGATACACACACACACACACACACACACACACACAGTCGTCTGGTTGATTGGCAGTTCTAAATTGCCCCTTAGAGTGAATGTGCATGTCTATGTACCGTATTGCTCTGCAAAACAATGGCAACAAGAGATGCACCAATATCGGTTCTGGTATTGACTAATCAGCTGCATTTGTGCTTTGATATCAGATATCGGAGATCCAATCCAGTTCCTTTTAAATGCAACTATTATTTCTTTAATTGTATTTATATTTGGGTTAATTTATACCCTTTTTTAACAATGTTTATATCAAGGCTAAAGCCTTCACTCACATGGCAATATGGTTCATCCATTCAACATTTGAATCGGACCGGTTCTGTGAGTTGGCCGTTACAATCAGCCCAGGTATCGCTATTGGATCCGAAAAAAACTGGATTGGTGCATTTGTACTAGCAATCTCTCCAAGTTGTAACATGCATTTGGCCAATAGACAGCTGGAGGTCTGGAGGGTACTTGAATCGATGGATCTCTCATTTTGTTTTTATGGGAACTTTGTCTCTATGTTATGCCTTTTAGTGGCCATTTAAAGGCCTACTTTCTACTGTGTAGTGAACCTTATGACACCATTTCTTTATAAAC